CCTATCATGAAGCTAAAAATAGTGACCTAATCCAGCGGCTCATCCCTACCACTCATTACATAGTAAGTGCCTCCAGTCTCTACCCCCTTTTTTTGACGATCAATGCATTTGAATAGGGACATATAGTTGGACCCCCCCCCTTATCCTGGGTTGGGAACCCCACTTTTAAAAATGGCTGGATCCGCCCCTGTCAGTGTTGACTGGCTAGTGATTACAGTAGTAACTACTTAGACCACTCGGCCACCGAGGCCCCTTTAATTTAAAGAAAGCAACTTGTTTATATAAAGAAACCATATTTAATCTTATTGAAAAATGCAAGTTTAACCTGTAAATTGCCAGGAAATTTAAAAGGCATGCTTTTAGGTGTGTTAAATGCAGAAATCATATTTCATATCAAAACAGTTCATAAATGAATATGGGTTTGAGTCCTTGAAATAATTCTATTGATATGAAGCGATTTTTGTGGTATGTGACCCCCACCATCCCAACACACACACACAAATTCAGACTAAAAGTTGTAGTAGGAGGTGCACAACTGCATGTCCCACCTAAAGAAGACTATGATCAGTGCAAGTTTCTGGAATTCCGTCAGTTTGTTTTCAAGAGTTTAGGCAATCTGTATTCATAAGCGAATATAGAGGATCTAGTTGACAGAGGCCTAGAGCGTTTTTGACGAAAAAAATATGGCGATATCTTTACAAATTAGACGATACAAAAACGTTTGTATTTATGAGCAAAAAATAGCACAACTTAGTAACAAATTATTTTTCTTAAAATTAATATCCGTATTCAACGGACATGCGATTGCGAAAACATTATTTTATAATTGCGTTCTGGACATCAGCTATACTGAATTGGCATTAGTATTCCTGCTTCCCTCTGTCTGTAACACAATCGTATAAAAAAGAAACAAATCAACAACTTCATTATATTTTTACAAAAGGACAAGTTATGAAAAGAAAAAGTGAGATTTGTTTGAACAAACTGATTTAAGTATAAAGTTGAGGTTACAAATCATGTAACAAAAGTTTAATTAACAAATGGAAACGAATAGAAAATACCAAAAAAATAAGGTCACGATAGGTAAACTTTAGCAATAAAACCCGAAAGTTTTCCTTGAATGCCGAAACTTTTGTCGACTTTTTAGGGATTGCATGCATCGGTTCAGTAATTTCTTTTAAGAAACTCGTTTCATATGACTTTTACTGATTCTTTGAAAAAAAACCCATCTAAATCAGTTTCAGATATTTTAACTAACTTTATCATGAGTTGAAGGGGCTTTAGCTGTCAAATTCATGTTTACGGATTTGACTCAAATTCTCAAATTTGATTTATAACATAATAAAACGTATATGCAAATTATTTAAAATTCTAAAAATAAACAATAAACGATGCATTGACTCGATAATATGTATCATCATTTCGTTTGAATCTTAATCCAGACGCCATCTAATAAACCATCGAGGTTGACCTCTGAAGACTGCCGACGGTCATATAACCCGATATAAACATAAATATAGATATAAATAGATAGTGAACACGTGCAAATGGATTTTTCTAGGTCTGCTTGATTTCATATTGTAGGTTAAACACTATGTAAATCATCGTTTTTACCTGTATAAGAATGAATTTTTGTGGATCGATTCAATGAACGAAATGGTTCATCCTTGCTTCACTTTCAATGTTGACATTCTTTTCCTTTTAATAGCTAACACGCTTAGTATATGCGTAATCCATCTCCAGCTACGGGGTTTAATTAAAGGTCACATGAATACAGATTCAATGAGGTCGAATTATTCACTTGCAAGTGAATAATACATCAGCGATTTTTCTTAGCTTATTTTGACAAAATTTAACCAAACTGGCTGCTAAAGGCGAATTATCATTTCATTTTCATTAATGGTTGAACAAATAAAAAAACATATCTTAATTTTTTTTATATCTCGTAGTTAATGCCCCTTTAATCAGCAAACTTTTCATAGGCCTATATTTCGACTTTATCACATAGCCTATCATGAAGCTAAAAATAGTGACCTAATCCAGCGGCTCATCCCTACCACTCATTACATAGTAAGTGCCTCCAGTCTCTACTACTACCAATGTTTTTTTTAACGACCTTGACTACCCATAAGGGTCTCGCACGGTGGGTCCTGGCTTACGCCTTTTGGGGCATTTGAATATTTTTTTTTACCTCCAGTCTCCCTGTCTGTTGTGTGTATATATGTTACAGTGAATTTGTAGAATATGGAAGTATGTATAATCCCTTATGTATAATCACTGGTAACTCTATTGTTTATGTATAATTACTTAAATTTTAAGGAATTATGCACAATCACTAGAAAATATCAGGGATTATACATAATAACTGGAATGAAGAGACAATGAATAAAAGTAAAATAATTTATTCTATAAAATAATATTCGAACATTTTTAGAAACATAAATATTAAAATCTTAAACACAATATTCTATTACAAATCATTTATTTTTACAAACTACATTGTAAATTTGGATGACAACTTCTATGGGGTCAGGGTTTGGGGGGGGGGGGTCCTCATTTCTTTATTCTTTACTTTTTTAGATCATTTTTTTCTATACTTAATTTATTTTGCCCATTATTCTCTATTCTGTATATTTTAGCACACTATTATTCCCAATTCTTATTTTTTGGTCTATTTTTATTTCTTAGCCCTTTATTTTGCACTGACTAACCATTATTCTCTGTTCTGTAAACCCCATCCAGACCCATTACTATTGACCATTTGCTCTGTTTTTCCTTTTTTTCTGCATAAAAAAAACCCCTTAGTCTTCACATATTGAATCTAATTTTACTGCACTTTGAAGCGAAATAAAGTGTTCATTAGAAACACCTGAAGGTGCTTAAAATGTCAATCAGACACCTCAAATTGATTCCTTGTGTATTATCTGAGCATAACTTCATGTTTCGTAGCCAGGCATTATCCGGCTTTTCAGCCCTTTCAAGTTATGAACGATGGCCATTATGTTTTTGGGCACGGTCTGCTTTTCCACGATCAACATGCCGCGAATCGGTATCACAGCCTCCTCCAAAATTGTGTTCAATCAGTCAAGCAAGTGTTATGTTTGTGTTTCTGTACGTTTAGTTGCATTTCTTTGCCTAGTTCGAATTCCTTGTTCTTTAACTTAGTCTTTCGTCCCCTTTGTTTACAGCAAATAACATGATCTGTGCATTTATGTTGGTATGATCAAGGATTTGAATGGTGAGACTATACAAATCCTTGGTATTATCAATTTCAATTAAAAATACTTATTCGTTTATGAGTTAGACTAGTGTGGTTTAACACAGTTTATAATATAGCAAAGTGCTCTCGACCAATGAAATTGTAGGATCTGATGCCTCTTAGTTGTGAAGAATGAATGCAAATTATGTTCTTAGTAAGGGATTATCCTATTATTTGGGTCTATTTACAGTTCAAAACAAAGAGTTTCTATAAATGAGTTACAACTGCCCCGAAGCACATTTATCAGATTGAAAGGATTTATCACACAGTGATTGAAACTTACTAAAAGTTGAATTGTGAAACAAAGAAAAATTCAAAATAAGTTGAAGTTTACTGTGCAGTAAAATTGGTACCGTGAATGTTATTATGAAAATATTCTTCAAATTACTAAATAATTAAACAATATCAAAGCATTTGCAAAAAAAGAAAAAAAGCTTTGAAATAAAAAAAAAAAAAAACTTAATATTTAGCTTTCAAAAACTTTGATCACTAATCAGCTGTTTGGAAGAATAGTTATTTCCAATATTCCGATAAAATAAAAAAACTAAAAAAAAACAGGAATTCAATTTAAGTTTTGAACATATTAAAAACTTTTAAAGGCATTTTATTTGAAAATTTCCCTGACATAATGAAATAGTATTTGATGTAAAAAGCCAGACCAATATATTGGCTGTTAAATAAAATTTAGTTGTAACTCAAATGTATCATTTGATTTAAACTGTAAATTAAAAAAAAGGATAATTCCTCACTAAAACATTACATGATATACATTCATACTCACAATCAGGAAACATATACCATTCCTACATTTTCTTTGTTCTGTTGTGTCACCTAATATCTATAAAGCATATTTTTAAAAATATTTCCCAAATGATAAGAAAGTCCTTCCATCACTAAAACTTATCCATTAATGAAATGCCTAAAAAGGAAGTCGTGCATTAATTAAAAACATTGCACTGACAATGAAACTAATTCTTAAATACAACCAATTAAGAGATCATTTGAGAACCTTGACCACTTCACAATATTCTAAGTTTGTAAGAGAATGATAATCCCTTACTTCATGATAACTACTCGCTAACGCTCGTACTTAATCATGAAGAAAGGGATTATCATTCTCTTACATATACTAAATAGAATAACACCAGAAAAACTGTTAACTGACTTTAATAACATTTGATAAATGGACAAGGAATGAAAACTGTTCACTTGAACTTTAAATAGGGTTTACATATGATTTATTTGTCTGTATTTGATTTATTCTTACCAAACAGGGAAATTTTCAGAATCTTTATATTTTTGATAATCACTGCATGAAAGCATTCCAGGGAATTTGTAAAATAATTCTTTAAATTTTCAGTGATTATGTAAAATTACTGGTCATTTTCATGGATTATGTATAACCCCTATTGATTTTAGTGATTATGCAAATTCCCTGAAAAAAATCAGGAATTCTACATAATCCCTGATTATACAAATTCACTGTAGCATACATAAACACACAAATACAACACACGTGGTTAAATTTTGTACGAAAGTCACGTGAAAACAATGGAATGTCAACAATGCTGTAAAAAGGGCGTACCTCTGTCAATCAAATAGCTTGATGGAAAAGTCCATAAATGAAGTAACAGAAGGTAGAGCGGCATGATTTTCATTAATTGGAGATTCCTTGCTCCAAGTATTGAAAATTGATTACTAATATTTCTTACAGTTCAAAAAATCATATGTTCCACTGAAAAATAAATTTACACGTCCATGTGTAATTTTAAGAATAAAGATGTAGGTCAAACAACCTGCTACGGAATTTGTGTTTCTTGGACTCGTCCATTTGGATAGTGGCCGTATTCAGTGCCAGATTTCGACAGAGATTCTAGGGTGAGTGTTATTTGTTTTGCTGCTCGTGTCACCAGAAACAAGTAAAATAAATATGAAATTATACACTTAAAAAAAGTAACGAACTGTATTTACTAGAAGTTACAAAATCTGATATAGGACTCTGCATTCGAACAACATGGCGGATACCAAAAAGGTGTTAAAAACCAACAGGTTAAAATACATTGTCGCTCACCTGATTTTTTAATCAAATAATAAAATATCAAGAATAAAAATTTATGAGGAACATTTGTTTACACTACAACATAACGATTGATTGTGTTTTGAGAAAGTTACTCAGATCAGAGACATATAATACAATCATATGTCTCTGCTCAGATCGACTGCTAAATATTCTTCAAATATTTACATTTTTATTGTATACATCATTATTAATTAGTACCGTACAATTACCATGCAGTTACAATCACAACCATTACAGTTTTTCTATTTGTATTTTTATAAATTTAACATACAGTGTTTCCAAAAATTAGGTTTATCACCCAACTGGTTAAGTTACCAGTTTACATCAGCTGGTATTTTATGCAATTATTTTCTATTGAGTTTTTAGTATACCATTACCAATTGTATAGTAGAAAAAAAGTACCTCATATTAATTTTTTTTAGTCTTTTCGATAAATAAGACATTACAAGTGCATATATCAAGGAGTGGCTCACTACAACTTCTTTGCTAAATGCAAGCTTTATTATATAATATAAAAAAAAGTAAAATAACAAAAATATCAAACCTGAAGGAAATTCAAAACAGAAAGTCCCTTATCAAATGGCAAAATTAAAAGCTCAAACACCTCAAACGAATGGAAAATAACTGTCATATCCCAGACTCTGTACAGGCATTTCTTTATGTAGAAATGGTGGATTAAACCTGGTTTTATAGCTAGCTATATATAAAACCTCTCAATTGTATGACAGTCACATCAAATTCCATTATATTGGCAACAATGTGTGAACAAAACAAACATATTAGTTTCAAATGTCAAAAATAGAGGTACAGCAGTCAACATTGTGTTATAATCTTAATCACTATAAAAAAACAACAAATATGTCAACAAAGAAAAATAAAATGGCATATAGACAAAGCACATAAGCAAAAATGAAAGACAAGAATACAAAAAATGACCATAGCACAATAACACAATGGCATGATTTATAAGTAGTGAGCCATGCCAAAAGGATATTACCAAAAATGGACTAAACAGTAAAGGTTAATAATTTACAAAGACAAATAAAAGAACACTATAACACGTAATTAAGATGATAAACAACGTCAGTACCTAGAATCTATACTTCAAGACCATCATGTATTATTTGTGAAGTTGATACGGAATATTTATCAACAAGGTCTTGGTATTTTCCGACAGACTTTTTTTTAGAAAAAGGACGAGACGTTCTTTGACATAACCCTGGTTCATCAACTTTCTGCTCAGACACTGGTGATGTTTTTTTAAAGTCTGAGTAGCAGCTGCAAGCTCTTGAATACCGATTGAGTTGGGAAATGTATATCCCATATGCAAGTGATGTTGGTTTTTGCTACTAAGGTGGGGGACATTGATAATTTCAAAATTAAAATCGTCTCGTTTGTTATAGATTCGGTACTGAGATGACTGCTTATGTCAAATTCAAGGTATAAGTCTAAAAATGAGGGGGAGGAAGCCGTGTCTGTTGTTTCTTTAATTTCTAGTTCTGGAGGATATATAAATGGAACTCAATCAGAACAGTTTGGATTGTTAATGGAAATAACATCATCAATATATCTGAATGTGAAATTAAATGATCTGGCTTTTTTTATCTTCTTGTATTTGACAAGTGTCTGAAGGAACTCTGACTCATATGAAAATAAGAAGAGGTTGGCAAGGAGAGGCGGCGCACAGTTTGTTCCCATAGGCATGCCGACAATTTGTTCAAAAAGTCTACCTCCAAGTTCAACAAATATGTTGTCAATAAGAAACTCCAGCATACTGGTCACTTGTTCCTCTGTGTAGCATTTTTACCTTTTTGTTCACTACTAACAAAATATGCTGTATGGTATCCCAAAGTAATGAATTTATAGCGTATGCTACCATTTTTGTATTGAAAAGCATTGTGGATTTTTTCTGTTAGACGAATTTTCAATTTCACATGGTGAATGGTGGTATACAGGGTTGAAAAATCTAAACTTTTGATAGAATTTATTTCAGAGAAAAATCGAGATTTAAAATTATCCAGAAGTTCTTAAGAGTTTTTTAGAATCCACATATGGTTAATACCACTACACAAGTAAACAGTTTCACAGTATTTCTGAAGACCCTCTTTCACTGCGGACAGAATTTTTGTCAATCTAATGGACAATTCCTTTGTAGAACATGCAGATGAGCCAGCAATGTAACGTTGTTTGTACGGAATTTTGTGAAGCTTAGGTATCCAATACAAACTAGGTAAGTCCTCAGATTTGCTGTTCAATGTAATGTTCATTGAAGCCATGAAGGACTTATGATTCGCCAAAATCTCATCCTTGTCAAATGATATGTTTTTGTATGTGGGATTACCTGAGTGCTCATTTATTCCTACATGTAACTCTTTTACAAGACACTCATAGTAGTATGACTTATATACATGATATACAAGACAATATTATTTGAAGCTTTGTCCACTGGAACAACAACATATTTATCGTGAAGTGTGAAGAGATGATACACATTTCACAGCTTCTTTGTCTCTGAAAACGGACTTTTGTCGATCATTCACAGTTTTTATGCCCCTGCGGTAGTGGAGTGGGCATTTAGTTTTACCCGTGTCCGTCTGAACATCTGTCCCAAAATTGGTTTCCGTTCTCAACTTTAGTTTGCCTCAATCAAATGTTATGAAATGTATACACAATGCTTATTACCACAAAACACAGATCAAGTTTGAATTTAGGTGGCATCACTTTTACCTTTCTAGAGTTATGCCCCTTTACAAATGGAAATGCTGAATTTTTCGTTTACGCTCTCTAACTATAGTTTGTCTCATCCAAATGTTATGAATCTTATACAGAATGCTTTTTACCACAAAACACAGATCAAATTTGAATTTTGGTGGCGTTACTGTTACCGTTCTAGAGTTATGTCCCTTTACAAATGTTTTTGTTTCTGTTCTCTAACTTAAGTTTGCCTCAACTAAATGTTATGAAACTTATACACGATGCTTATTACCACAAAACTCAGATCAAGTACAAATTTTGGTAGCCACTTTTACTGTTCTTGAGTTATGTCCCTTTATAAAGTTATATGCACGTGGGGGCATCATCTGTGTCCCATGGACACATTCCCCATTTATTTAACTTATGAATTTGACGCTTTATTAGAGACCTGATTGTTTGGACCCATTCTGACAAAGTGTCCAGTTCAACTTCTTCTCGTTTATATGCCATCATTCATAAATACAATATAAGAATAAAGAGATGTGGTATCATTGCCAATGAGACAACTATCCACCAAGAGTTCAAATGATGTTAAAGGTAAAATAACAAAAATACGTTATGGGGAGACGTGCATGTAGGTGGCATTACATCCTCAATTTGGAAAACTTTGTTTTGAAAAAAGAAATCTATAGTCATAATACTTGTCTGTTACTGGTCCTGTTAATAATGAAATAAACATGTATCATCAAAATTGGCAAACTAGTGATTTAAAACAGGTTTTGGTTGCCACTTCTATGTACAAACATAATTTTCAAAAAGGTTTTCTGTTTAAGAAAATTAATGGATATCTCCCAGGACTACTCGGACCGTAAATTAGACTTCTTGGATCGTTATCATCCTATATAATGCCCCAAGTTGTTCTCGGCTGAGTTGTCAAGTACTCTACCAAAAAGTATTTGTAACAACCGTAGCAATTGTTCAAGATGAACACCCCAGACCAACAAATGAATGATAACGAAGTTAATAAATATAGCAGGGGTCATAATAAGGCACAGCCAAAAGCAAATCACAAAATAAATTGTGTTGTGAGTGTGCAAAATCCTGTATTTGATAGATAATACAATGTACATAAGAATAAGTATAAAAGCAGAAACGTAACTAGTGTTACGTTCTCATTTGGGGTATCAGTAAATTATTAAAATGATTTGAAAAGAAATTAGGACAACCCTTTATTTAATCAATAAAAAAACCATGAAGGAAACTGAAACAAAACCACTATTTTCATTTTTAACCGGATTTTTGAAGGAAAAATCGTTTATTGATCCGTTCATTAACATGAAAACGCTTTGACGAAATTTTTTCAAATTTAGATATGTTGTTTCTTGTGACTAAATGAAGGTCAAGTTCAATTTTCAGGATTTTATCTTCTCATTGTGAAGTTATATCCCTTTCCAATAGTCAAAAGTGGCACTTATTATGTGATTGAGTTATTTCCCTTTGAACAGAAATGGTTAATTATATATATAAAGTTTGATTACACTTACAGATAAGTTGAATAGATTTTTAAAAGACATTGTATTAATTGTAAATTTCCTTACTTTGGTAAATTATTTGAAGAATTTTGTGGTAGGTTTGTTTGTTAATCTTGATTAACTAATTTTCTGAATGTTATATATATATATTTTTTTGATGAAGTGAACTCCTTTAAAAACTAAGCTTATATTGTCTATTAATAAATTTAAATTTAGATTTCTGATTTTGGGCCCAGTTTTCAAGTCGGTCTTAATCGGGGTCTAAAATGAAAATGTGTTTGATTTCAACATAAATTGAATATATATAGGGTTCTTTGAAATACTGAATCTAAACCTGTATTTATTTTCATTATTAATTAGATAATACCACATTGAGGTCCAAAGGGTCCTAAATTAAAATTTTGTTTAATTTCATCAAAAATTGAATTCTTGGGATTCTTTGATATGCTGATTCTAACAATGTTTTAGTGGTTAAATCATATCTAATTTTATTGATTATAATTTGAAAATAGGTATTACATCATATCTAATTTTAGAGAACTATTTTTTAGTGGTTAAATCATATCTAATTT